TTTATATTTAAAACATATTTCTAGTTTATGGTTCCGGACTGTAGGAGATACTCTGTAATGAATGAACTTGCAGTGCGTCTTTATTTTGACTCAGTGTTGTTTAGTTTGCAGAAAGAGTGAGGCCAATAATGAACTCTTATTTAAGCAAGGACATCAGGATTTACATAGGCAGTGTCTGGCAGAGATTAAGCGAGCAGGTTTTGAAGCTAGAGTGCCTAGGTTTGAATCTACTGATTAATTGTGGAAACTCTGGGCAATTTGCCTAAATCCTCTATGCCGTTGTTTCCGCCTATGTGAAATGGGGATAATAATTTCACCCTTATAGGTCTGTTATGTAGGTTAAGTGAATTAATACTTAATGCCTGCAGTAGTGCAAAATAACATTGGCTATTTTCTTTATTATGCATTCACATGGGCATTAATTTTCAAAGTTGTCACCACCGTTTTCCGCAGAAATGTTGCTATAGATGCTCGGGGATTCGTTTGGAACAGTTTTCAAAGACCGAGTTCCACCAGAAAAGTACTCATGACTATTGTCTCATACTAATGATGTGCTCCTCCACCTTGTTCCAAATCAATTTCTATGGTTCAGGAATCTGAGTCTTGTAGGTTGTTCTAAAAAAAGAGGGGTGAAAAAAGGCAGCACTTTCAGAGTGAGTATAGCCTCATTTTAAGCACCAAGCTCTGGTAGGTTCGTCTAAAAGAAAAGTACATATTACTTTACTGTTGTTTTTTTTAATCCTCACCCGAGGATATTTTTGCATTGATTTTTTTTTTTTGAGAGAGAGGGAAAGACAGAGAGAAATATTGCATTGATTGGTTGCGTCCTGCAGGCGCCCATAATGTGCCCTTGAACGGAATCGAACCTGGAACCTTTTCTCCGCAGGCCAATGCTCTATCCATTGAGCCAAACCGGCTAGGGCAAAAGTTCATACTACTTTATATAGATCTTATAAGTTGTGCTATTTTGGGTGGGTGCTTATTTGTACTATTATTGTAAAATGAGGTAAACCAGAATAGCCAAATGCCCAAATGATCTAAACATCGTAGGAATCTTAACTTGCCACATAGAATCTCAGGGATTCTGAAAAATCTCACCGGCTGCCCTTGACTGATAAGATTGAGGCCCAAAGACCTGGAACCAATAAATGACAGAGCTTAGACTAGAATTCAGCTCCGCTGAGCCACAAATTACAAAACCAAAAGTACGATTTTACTTCTGGTTTTGATGAGGCTACTATTTTTATTTTTGACATCTTTGTGGTGCTGGGAATGTTTTTTCCCCTCTCAGCAACATCCTGCGTGGTAGCTTAATTGCATGATTCATAATCATTCTTCAGCATCTTTGATTTAAATCGCAAGGCTCAAAGTTGCTACATCAATGATTGCTTTGAGAGCACGATGATTGTCTTCTTAAACTTTGTACAAACATGTTCTAATAGAGCTTTGGTTTTGTTGCTTTAAAATGCAGTCCTTTCTTTTATGTAGGGAATTTTAACCACCAGTATAAACAAATTGACCTAGTAGGCAGTTTGTTATCGCTGTGTTATTGGTGAAGTTTTCTTGATTGGGTAGCATAGAGTCAGGAAGTGGGACATTGAAGTTGCTGCCAACTTCAAAAAAGCATCATGGAATGAAATTACATGGAGATA